TGGAGACCTGGGCATGAGTGGCGAGCGCTCGTTAAACAACTCGTCTAGCCCAATGACCGGTACTGTCCGGCAGGTCTACTGAGTTCAATGTAGAGGGTCTGAACTCCGAGCTGTAGGCTGAAATGAGGGCCGTCTTTAAGTGTTGAGGCCTGGTTGAGCCACTCCCCTACTGGACCTACTACAGCTGATGATCTGTGTCTGACGACTCGACTGTCCCGAGGGATACGAACCCCTCCAAGGACAGGTACAGACCGGCGGGCTGCTCGGTGTGACACAGTAGACTGGAACGGCTGAGTTGTGGGCTGAAATCGCCAGGAAGAACCAAGCTGATCACGTCGTCCTGTTAGCGACGTTAAAAAATTCTTGAGGAGTTACGGGGGATCTCCTTAAATGCCTCCAGATCAGCTTTTGGTTCAGTAGTGACAGCCTTAGAATAGTCTTGGGTTAGTGACCATATTTGACAGGGTCTTACCCTGTGGTCCTTAGGAAGTCAGTTAGTGGGTAGTGTCCGGGTAGGTCTAAGTGGTGAGGAGTGGGACTTTGGTCGTGCACCTGACGCCACGATGGACGACTATCCGATGTATGGGCTGCTTGTTGGGTTCTCCCTCTGGGGGACCCTCTGGCGTCTCCTCTTTCCTCTGGGGTTCTAGCACACGATGACGTGTAGAGTAGATACCCGGGGTGGTACTTCCACCAAGCCATATTCGAAGGAGGAGGAGGAGAAGATGGCCGTCATTCTGAGGGAAAGACAGGAGAAGAAAGAGGCCAAGAAGAAAGCCTTGAAGGAGGAGCAGGTGGCCAAATTAAAGAAGATAGAAGAAGAGATGGCTAGGGAGAAGGAGAGGATACAGAAAGAGGAGGAAGCAAAGTTGAAGGAGGTGGAAAAAGAAGAGGAGGAAGATGATCAGCCACTGGAGAGGAGAAGAGAACAGCGAGGGCAGTACAGTGGCAGCAAAGATGATGAAATGGAGAAGCGGATCTCAAAGTGGGTCGCCAACTTGTCCCTGGGAGAAGAAGAAGAGGTAGCCATGTATATCCCCAAGGACGAGCAGGAAGCCTCTATGAAGGAGTGGGAAGCCGAAAGGGATGTTGTAAGGCGGCATGCAATGGAGGATGAAAAAAGGATGGAGTGGAAGTTGAGAGTGATGAGGGAAAAGAAGAGGAAAGTGGACGCGGCGATTGACGCGGTCAAGGACCTAGGGGAGATGCAGCAACTAACCCTGAAGTTGACCCCGCAGACCTTGAGAAAAAGGTAGAATTCATTGCCCAGACTGTCGAGCGCTTAGCCCGGATACAAGAACAACAGTACGATTTTAGTCGAAGTCAGGACATGGTTGTGCGCTCCATACGAATGGGGTTTCGGGTTGCTCGCGAATTGGTAGGCGCAATAGGATCCGAGGTGAATCATCGCCTCGAGAAGACTGAACGATTTTGCGCTGGCGCCATTGAGGGCGTCAAGGCGGCAGCTCCCAAGGAAGAGGAACCACGCCCGCCGCGTAGAGAGCCAGTCAAGGTCAAATTCCCTGATTCCTACAGTGGGAAGAGGGAAGAGAACTTTGATAACTGGGAGGCCAACGTTAAGACCTACTTGCATCTGCAACAGGTCTCCCCGGATCAGCAAGTCCTAATTGCGATCCACGCACTTAGAGATGAGGCCGCCAGCTTCGCAAGATCCCTTGTTCGCGCTGCCAACTGCAGTGACGATCCAGTTGCCTATTCGACATTCACTTCCCTCACTGAGTTCATGAGATTGCTGCACGAGCGATTTGCAGATGTCGCACGAGGTGTCAAGGCCTCAGGTAGGCTCCAGACAATCCACGCTCGTAAGTGGAAGAGTGCCAGGGCACTCAAGAGCACGATGGATGAATTAATCGTTGTTCCTGACCATGGGGTCACAGACACCCAATTGGTCGGCCTCTTCTACCGGGCTATCCCCGAAGCCTTGCGAGGGCACTTCTTCGCGAAGAGCGAAGATCCGGCCACTACGTATGATTCTCTTAGTCGTGAAGTGGTGGCCTTTGAAGCCAAGTCAGCATCTGTGTCTACCTTCTGGCACAAAGACTTGGACAAGGGGAAGCAATGGAAGGGCCGAACTATCTCTGGGCAAGTGAAGACTAAGGATAGCCTTGTCCTAACTCTAGATGAGGGTAGTGTGGACGAGATCCCTTACGACCAGATTGAGTGGGGGTTAGAGGAGGATGACAGCGGTGTGGGCCAGGGAAGGACTTACGCTGCTGTCGCGGCTGGAGGGAGGCCGCAAGGAGGACGAGGCCAGGGCCAAGGGGGCCGGGCCTCATGGAGCCGGTTCCAGGGCGATCAGGGGGTTGGCGGTAGAGGAGGAAACCGCCAAGCGGGAGGCAGGGGTCAAGGTCCCCCGCAAAACCGTCCTAGGAATAGGTCACCCTACAGAGTAGGAGGATGGCACCCAGGGCTGTCGCAGGGCAGGCCTTTGGAATATTTCGGTCTGGACCAGACTTTATGGCAACAACGATTGGACCGGGGCCAGTGCATTTTCTGTGGTGACCCGGGCCACATCATCAAATACTGTCCTAAGTATCGCGAGACCCGAACGGCTGCCCAAGGGCCAAAAGGCAGCCGCCGGTAGGGGTAGCAACTGCCCCTACCACTAGGCCATGTGGGGAACATAGCGCTAGCCGGCAGGAGACTCCCACA